GCAGTCGTCCCGTCGCAGTCGCACGGAAACGCGTCCGCGGTGCACTAGGCGTACGTCGTACGGGTGTGTTCTCGACACGTCGACCGCGCGCGTGCTCGTTCGTTGTCTCGCGCGCATCGTTCGTTTCCGCCGTCGTCTCACCGTTTTTTTCGGCTTTCCCGTCCGTTGTTTACGTTTCGTTTTTTTTTTTTTTCACATCACGAGTCGGCCGACGAACGTTGTTGTCGGACCCCTCGGTGTTCTCCACGTTGTTTGCAAACCCTCCCTCCTCCTCCCCCGCCTCACCGCGCGACCGCTACCGCGTTCATGTACGCGAGAACTCGGACTTTCGGTCAGCCGCCTCAAGCGCCCGTGGCCATGCCGTCGCAGCCGGCCCTCAACCGGCCGAGAGGAATGTTCGCTCACAAAAAGGTCGGTGTTGCGCAAATATTTGTTTGTTTTTGATTTTTAAACCCGACGATTTTTACGGGACGGGGGGGGGGGGGAAAAAAAAAAACGTAACACCTCCCGGGAGTTCCGGGATCTCGTAGATTTGTACCACTCTCCGTGGAACGGAAAACGAATTTTTTTTATGTGCTTTGCGGGTGCCGAAAAAAAAGGGAAGATATCACGGAGCAGAAAAATTGATGCATCTCCCGCGGGCACGTTTGTGCAGCGGCACGCGTTTAACAATCGGGTTTGTTGGCACGTGACAAATCGTTTAATTACCGCTGTCCGCGAACGGACTCGGCACCGTGTTTTCCTATCGACCTTATCGGAATGACTGTAACGGAACAGTTCAAACCGCGTCGCATGCTGGTCGACGGGTTGTCACGCTACCATGGTTCTCGCCGACCGTCGATCTTTCACGTACACCGATCGTACGTCGATTCATATTAAGTGTTCCTAAATCAACACCGTAGCTCACCTTATCGAACCGATGTTGTTGTTTTCGAACTTGTTACGCGTACGAAGCGACTCGCGTTTCCAAAGCTAATCTAATATAAATATAGGATAAAGTCTAATAAAAAATTAGACGCTTTACTCTCTCTCTCTCTCTCTCTCTCTCTCTCACGCGAATAAATAACGATTGAAAAAAATCGTACTCGGAGACCGACAGTCGTTTTACAACGCGTTGTTTACGAGTCGCCATGTCCACAAGTCGCTTATTATTACATTATGTTTCTGGCACAACTAGTTTTTTCGGGCGTAGCGCGAGCCGCGAAAAAACTGGTCCACGCGTTTTCTGCGCGTTCCGTTTCTGTACTCGTTCCGGCCGGCGATGTTTTCGTACCGTCGTCTACTACGGTCCACGACGTCACACGAAGTTTTCAACTTATCGCGCGGCCGAGACCTTGAACGTGTACCGCCGTTCGGATACAATCAAAACACACCGTTAAACGTTCGCGCGGTGCCGTTGCGCGCTCGTTTGTAGGTACTACCGCGTCACAGCGGACAATCGGTTTCGTTTCGACGACGAAATAAAAACAACGGTTAAGTTTTAGTTTATTCAGTTTCATTTAAGTTCGGCGACCGCGGCTCCGACAAAGAAACCGCCTGCAGACGCGCGGCAACAGATGTGTCTTTATTTATAACGCGCGCCCGCGCACTACTTCTCGGAGCGAACCAACCGCGCGCGCTGAGTTAGCTCGTGGTGGAAACGAACCGCAGATCTCGGCCGGATCGTAAAACGAAAACGCGATCCGACGTCAACCTATTACCCCCGGTCGCGTCGCCGTCACCGTTACCTGTGGCGGTCGAAAAAAATTCCACTGACGGTCGGACTCGAGAATCCTTGAGATTCCGACCGCTACGTCAACGTTTCGGGCACGTTGCCCGCGCGCGCGCGCGTCGCAGACAAAAGTCTCCGAGAAAACGCGCGCACAGTCGGCCGCGTCGATATGATCGCACGGGCGCGGAATACACGTCGTCGTCGTCGTCGTAGTGCGCGCCGAGCGAACACAAAAGCGTTTCGTGTTTGATTTCGCAAACGAACGGAGACGAAGAGAGAGAGAGAGAGTGAGAGAGACTCGATTATATAGGTATATACGCGAGCGATTCGTCGTGTTCATTTGCATATTATGTTACGGGCCGGGCCTGACCGGAATCCGTGGGCGGATGCAAACCGCATATCATAGGTGTACGTACGTTTTTAATAAATTTCCGTGAGCGCGCGCGTTTAAAACCGGACGACCGCGACCGACGTCTTTGTGCTGCGCGCCTCTCCTCACCGACCGTCCGCCGCCACTAGGATGCTGTACGCGCTGCTGTTCGTACTTTTTACGATCCACGGTTGCAACCGCGTTTCCGGCCGACGCGGCGACCGTTTGTCGCCCGCGATCCGTACGCGTTGCGCGCGCGATACGACGACAACCGTTTCGTTTATGGAATACTTATGCATATCAACAGGGCTCGGATTTTCGAAAGCCAATGCTTCTTTTTCCGTTACCCGAGATAGAACTCTAATTTATTTGAATATTAATTCGTTTCCACGTCTTTACGTTTCCGGGCAAACCGATTTATTTTTGCTTTTTTCGGCTTTTCTTTGTGTAAACGCTTTTTTGTACTACAGTAGTTTTTTTTTTTTTTTTTTTTTTTATTTAATTAATAACAAATGTGAAAACCCGAAATACGGACGTTTAGGTCGTATGGGATTATTATTATTGTTTTCGGCTTGAAATTTATCAAACGCATAGATTATCGATCTGCAGACGGTTAGATCATCTTTGACAAAATGTATAAATATTGTCTTAGATACAGAAAATATGTTGAAGAGATATTGCAACTGCAATTTCGGGTAAAATAAATCGTGTTCCTGCGAAAAACAAAGACTGGAAACAATTACTAGACATTAATAGTATACTGGTAGCATTTAATCAAACAAAATTAATTATCATAGGTTAGATTTAAATTAAACCCACCATGAAGTGTGTACCGATAACATAAGTGAATGTAAAGCTTTCGTTTTCTATGTATAAAAACATTCTATCAGATAATAAATCTTACGAAACACATTGTAATTAATTATTTTTTTAATTTAATTTATATATTTTATTCAGTTTTATAACTAATTCATGTTAATTTTTTTCATTTGGTCATGCTTTTTTTAAAAATAAATTTGGTTTATTTTTGCTTTTTTAAGACAATTTAGTGATATTTGTTATTTATTGTGCTTTAAAATCCGAGTCTATATATTAATATTTGTAATTGTTGAGATATCGTATTTTTACACTAGAAGCTATTAATAAAAAAAAAAAAAAAAAAAAAACAAACATTGTTTCGTTATCACGTTTTGCCGATGATGCAGTACGTTTAATGCGATCGACGGTGCCGTCTTGTTTTTACATGCACTACGTGTTTCGTTTACATGCTGTTTATACCGTTTTTGGCAACGAAAAGTGATAACGTTCTTGAACGATGTTTTCGATACCGTTTCGTTGCATTTCGCGATCGATCATTAATTCCGGAATGGTGTTTTTTTTTTCGCGAAAAATAAACATATCTGCTCGATGATATGAGGTACGAATATTAAACGTAAATGCTGTCGGAATTTCAGTAGGTCAAAATGTGAGTGGTACTTTATGTAGCTTCGGTAGGTATAACTATTTATAAAACGGTATAACGAGATAGCGAAAGACGCTCGTGTTAAATTTGCTACCGAACTAAACGTGTAAACAAATAAATTATAAAACAGGCAAATACCGTTCGTAATAGGTGCTTACCTATTGAGTTTCGGTACGATTGATGATTTATAATCGTTTCTTACGACTACCAGGGTATAATAATATTATTATTTATTTCTCACGATTGATAAACAAAATAAATAACTGAGCTCTTTGAAATCATCATGATAATGATTTTACCTCATCAGCTGTACTTTGGTAGTTAATTCGGAGTTTCACCGTATTCTCCGTCGTACGTTAAACCTAAGTTTAAATGCATTATAACCAGATGTTTTGTGTTGCGCAGTCGTTGTATCTGTAACCTATACGATGGGTCTTTTGAAATCGGTTTGACGAATAACTACTAGACATGAAATACCTTGAAATCGAACCGAATACCATTTGCAGCCCAATCGCATATCGTTATCAACCGTATATCTTACGTTACTGTACTTTGAATAACAATAGAATAATTACGTGAATTAAAGAATTTAAGATAAAAAAAATAAAATCCAGACTTTGCAAGGTTCCGTTCGGAAAACGATTGCGAAATAATAGTCATGTTTAACACAACTACACGGATCAAAGACATGTACAAGTATTAAAGCGTTGTATTCGTTACACGCAATCGTTTTATTGCTTGTGTGTAAAAACTAAAAATCTATTAACATACGAATTTCAACATCGAACAGTGTTTTGACGGCACGATTATAAAATGAAATAAATTATCGCGAATCGACAGATCAATACGTGTGTTATTGCAACAAAACGTTTCTAACAAACCTGTCGCGTTCGACTCGTTTTCCACCCGTTGTTCTCGAAGACGATATTATGATTGCCGCGTAAAATCTACATACCGAAGGTCCCCCGCTCCCATGTTTTATCGTTGCGGCGTATATTGCGTTTTGCGTTGAAGACGTGTCCGATGTTCACGTTGATGCTAAAACATGTGGGAAAACGGACAAATGGCTTTTGGTGTGACGCGTTCCGTGTTAGGAAACAGTTACCGTGCACGAACGGCTTCCGTGATTACGCAACGAGTAACGACCGCGATAAATCATAAACGCAAGTATTCGCGCGCGTGGTAATTGTCGTGAAATAAATTTAACGAAAAAAAAAAAAAAAAATAAATAAATAAATAAAAAACTAAAAAACGATGACCGCGGCAATAAATCGGGGGACGGTTCGGTAAATGCACCGCGGTCCTATGCACACGAAATAACGTCTAAAACGTTGCACTAGGTGAATGAAAAAAGAAAAATAACTTGCGACAAAGTAGTGCGGTACTCGGTAAACTCGATTTAATAAACCCATTTTAATACTTAACGTAAAACAATTATGTACAAATTATTTTCAATGATAATATTGTACGGTAACGTACGCGATAAACAATGTTACCTAGCAGCACGTTGAACAATTCGTAGTTGTTACGATTACGAAGTGTGACCGTATCGCATAACTTGTTTAATATAGTAATCCAAGATTCTGACGAGTAAGTACTCAATTAATTGCAGTGGTTTGAAATGTATTGCAGAGTAATGATATAAAATCGTTTTTTTTTTTTTTTTTTTTATTATATAAGTAGTGTCGTTAAGAAATTCGTTGTACGTTGAGAGTTTCGTTGAACGGAGTTTCGGCTGTTCATTAAATAATAATTATAATGATAATAGTTCGATACAATGATACACGGCGCGATGGAATCCGGTGCGCAGCAATAAATTGATCGGAACAAAAAAAAAAAAAATCAATTATAATACGATAATATTACGC